ATTAGAATAAAAATTGTTGCATATATTGTGAAAAATTTGCTGTGCCAATACTTTGTTCCGGCAGTGCACATTAGGTCAAATGATACATTTGGCTGTGCGAAAGTCCAATTTCGTAAAGGCAGTTTTACATTATTTTTTGTTGCCATTCTGTAGAGAATACTCCAAAATAACAGAAACTTCACTTAGTTTTTGTAAAATAAAAAACACCGTTATACAGCAATAAACCAAAGTTACACTTTCAAAACGTTATTGATACGTTGTTTGCGCAACCGGTTTATTTTGTAAATTTCAAGTGCATTGTTTTTGTAAAGTTCGAATAACTAAAGGAAAATTTTAAATGGGGGAAAAAACTATATCTAAGTGAGAACCTATGTCCCAATTTAAAAAAGTGACTTTTTATCATTTGTTTGCAAAAAACTGACTTATTTGCATAACCTCAAAAATTTTTCTGATTTATTTCAATTTATGATTTTATGTAAGCTTTTACAATTTTGTTAACTTTCGGCAAACAAAATGGAATCGGAAATGGATAAATTAAGATGTAATGAGTTCAATTTATTTTACTTAATTTGCCGTTTTTAGCCGTTTTCATGAAAAAAGGTTTTTTGTGGGCTATCATGCTATCACAAAAGGCAAGTTGTTTGAAGTTTGGCTGATTGGATGTTCGAAAAAAGAAGAGCCTTTTTCGGTTGTCAACCATGTTGAAAAAAAATTTGGTGCTGCTGATATTTGCGAAAGTTCCATGAAACTCTTAGAAGAAAAAAACGCGTATTTTTTGCAATTATTTATCAAATAAATATGAAAATTATGGGAAACAATTTGGAAAGGATGCTAAAATATTTATATCTGAAAACATTGCGTTTCTTGCTGATGAGGTTCTTTTCGAAATCAAAAAGCCAACTGTGTCGACCATCAGCCGGATTCTAACTTTCGCTATCGCTAAAGTGCTAAAATAGGATAGCCAACCTTTTTCCGAATTTTTAGCTATCTCCAAAAATATCTCCAACATTTTTTGGTGATAAATAATCCATTTTAATGGTGATAAATAGTGAAAATGGAAGTATGTGATACCAAAAAAAAAATAGCAGCCTCAATTTGCATTACATTTCATCTCCTGTAGCGTAGCCGAGGCTATGTTCAAATACACTAGCGCCTTCGCAAAAAGGCAAATCCTTGAGAGAACTCACGGACTGAAATTTCCAATTTTTTTTACTCAAAGTGAATAGAGCTTTGAAAATTCTTTTAACAAATTAGTTATATAAACATTCGTATTCTTTTCAGGAAGTTACCAGCGATTTTCGGTAAATGTGTCACAAAGCAGCATTTGTATTCTGAATATAAATAGATAATATCGGTGGAGAATTTGGAAATACTGAAACCTCAAGTGAAAATGAAGTGATTTATGAAGACAAACTGCTTTAGGAATCTCTCCTCAAGACATATCTGCGAGACATGTAGTAAATATTTTTCTTTTTTTAATTTAGGAATTTCGATAATGCCATAACTAATCGCTAGAAGAAACCATTTATGTACATGTGACCATACTTATTTTATTATATAGCTCATTTTAAAGAGGAACGGGTTGTGTATGATAAGAAAATAACTTGTGTCAAAACCAAGCTAATTGGACAATGTTTTTGAGTAATACCTAAAACATATACTCATCATTTGAACATACAAAAAAGCAGTAAGTTCTGTTTTACGAAAGCCAAGTCTGTTTAACATTTTATTTACTGCCTTTACACTTCTTTTAACGTTTTCCATCTTTTTACATTAAAATAATGCAATATTTTAGCTGCTATTAATTTCTCACAGAAAAAGTAATCATTTGACCTAATGTGCAGTGTAGCAAAAAATAAAATAATTTTGTAAAATAATAAAAACGAAAATGAGTTTCGCATCTGGAAGCTGCAATAATACAATATGCCACTGCAAGGAAGACGGTACCAAATTTTTTTTAATTTCCAGCGCTTCCTTTTGCGAATTCGGTATTTAAATCTGAAGTTAAAAGGGAACAAAATTATTATGAAAATAACAAGATGAGAAATATTACACCTTGAGGGGTTTATTGAATTTATTAAATAAATCTAAGAGGACTAAAATATTTACACCCATTAACTGTGGAAAAAATACTCGTCTCGAAATTTTCTAATTTATTTTTAAATATTAACAATATGCAACTTGAACAAATTATGGAGCTTCAAAAACCTTAGTATCCATCAAAAAGTGGTTTACTGAAACAACCTATTTTTTTATCATGGTTTAAACAGCTTTATAAATTGACGTTTTCATACATTTTTCCATTCATAAACCTTTTTTGAAGCTACTTTATTTTTTATGAATATGGTTATAAGTTTTAGGTAAAAATATTTATTGATAGAATAGTAAATATATTACTATTACTTTTTATACTGATCCTCAATTTGTCACTCCCGCCCAGTGTTGCCACAAAAAAATTACCCAATTCCTCAAAAAGAAACGAAAAATCCTCAAAATCCGAACAAATTACTCAAAATTTTCCTGTTATAGATATTAATATTTTGTACTGCGTACTGTTTACAGGTACTTAGTATAAAAATTAATTACATTCTCCAATTCAATTAGTACAGTTTTTCTTGCGGTTAAAACAAAGTATCACCAGTTTTTTATGCCTTGGTTTGTATATAATATTACTGCAACTATGTCAGTGCTCAATCTGGTCCTCAAGTCAGTCCTATACATTTTTAAACTACTAATTATACGTTCTACTGAAGCATTAGAAAAGGGCTATGTTAGTAATGCAGATATAATTTTTTTTAATTGGGAAACTTATATGAACCTGAAGAATATTTTAATTCAAAAACTCGTTTCCTATAATTTTCTGGACCTAATGAAGAATCAATCCATTCGGTATCGAGATTTCGCAAGTTCAAAATAAGTTGAAAATATAACGATTATAGAACACGCTTTATATTTAAATGTTTATTTTGATATAAAACGGATTCACAAAGAAAAACCGCAGGATGGGTTATTTAAATTAATTATTAAAGCAAAATACTTCAGGTTTCCGATGTTGCGTGTTCAACACGACGATTGCGATTTGTTCTCTCTTCTGCCTCGTTCGCACGTATCTACTCACTGACAGTTTTGGCAGCGTTGCCATCTATCACGTTGGTTGCAGGGTTACCGTCGCTTACAGTCGGCTTTCCTGACCCTTCGAAGCACCCTCGCTCGAATTACTGTGGTTCGTCGTCATCGCTATTGCCTAAATAGTTTGGGTCATCAGGCGGTAATTGGCACCAAGGTTTCAACTGGTCTGATGCAAATATAGACGTATAATGCCGCTGACTTCGTTCGGCATGCGGTAAGTCTTCAACCACATAGCGGTCGTTCGGTAGGACTTTAGTGATAACAAAAGGATCTTTGTAATGAGGGTCCAGTTTGCGTGATGTGCCGGTGCTTGCTGGCTCATTCGTGGTGAGTACTAGGTTACCCTCGTGGTAAATCTTCGGGCTAGAGTGTTGTGCATCGTATAATTTCTTGGCTTGTGCTCGTTTGTCGTTAACTCGATTAGCAGAATCGGCTCGTAGCTGCTGTACCTCAGCATCGGTCATCATATCACAATGATCGTCTTGAAGCACTTGGATAAGTTGATTCTGCAGAATGTCGCGTGGCTTGTACATATAAAGTAGTTGGAAGGGAGTGCATCCGGTCGTCATATTGGGCATAGTGTTGATGCTCCACTGAATTTGGCGTAGCTTATCGTCCCATCTTTTTCCATCATCGGCGGTCCTAGTTGGATGGCATAATCAGCGTGCTCTGAATTCCTCTCGTCGACGATGCGCTTGATTTTCTCGTTTTGCAATTGGATACTAAATAACCAATCGGCTTTATCGATTATCGTTCTCGAGATTTTGAGGTCAGTGGTTTCCATTTCTCGAGCATCTTCATAAGGTGCTCGGCTCAGCGCGTCCACATGTTCCATACGAGAAGCTGGTCGGTGAAGGATCTCGATGTCGAAATCCTGGATTCTCAACCACCATCGGGCTATACGTGGTATGAGCTCCCGCTTCTCCATCGTCGTTCGCAGAGCATTGCAGTCGGTGGTGACTCTTATTCTCTTCCCGTAGACGTAGTACTTAAACCTTTCAAGCGATTCAACAACTGCCAAGGCTTTAAGCTCGTAGCTGTGAAAATGCTTTTCATTCTCCGTGGTGGAGCGACTGAAATAGGCAAGGGGTTGGAGTTGTTCATTTTCTGCTTGCATCAGAACGCTTGCCAAGCCGATGGAGCTGGCGTTCGTATACAACTCGTGTACGGCATCGATGCGGTAGCTAACCATTGTTGGTTTCGACGTCAGTGCGCGTTTTAATTTCATGAGGGCTGAGTCTTGTTGCTGTCCCCATACGAATTCGGTATTATTGCGCAACAATTTGCGTAATGGTTCGGAGATTATGGAATAACCAGCGACAAGCTTTCGAAAATAGCCGCTGAGGCATAAAAACTTACGAACTTCTGTAACATTTCTTGGTGTCGGGAATTTGGCAACAGCGTTGGTTTTTATTTCCCCTGGGCTGATGCCCGCGGGATGTAGCTGATGTCCCAAAAAGGTTATTGTTTCTTTGAACAGCTCACATTTGCTTACGTTTAACGTGAGCCCATACGATCGTAGGACTTGTAGTAGGCGTGAGAGTTTACCGAACATCTCGTCGAACGAGTTGCTGCAAACCAGAATGTCGTCCATGTAGTGGAGCATGTCTCCCTTCTCCACCCGGTTCTAGATTTCTGCCATGAGTCGATTAAAAACAGTTGGTGGGTTCTTGAGCCCAAACGGCATGCGTTTGAACCCGTACAACCCGTCAGTAGTGATGAACGCTGTAAATTTTCGACTATCGGGAGCCATTGCGATCTGATAGTAGCCACTATTCAAATCGAGCGATGAGAATTACCGGAAACGTTTCGCCTCTTGCAGCCGTTCTTCGATGTTCGGGACTGGGAAGTTCTATTTCTTGGTCAGCTTATTGATGCGTCTGTAATCGATACATAGTCCATCACTCCCGTTTTGTTTCTTAACCAGTACGACAGGGCTTGCGTACTCCGATGTAGATTTCACAATGATCTCATGCTCCAGTAACTCGTTAACCATGCTGTTCACAATGTCTCGTTTTGGTTCCGGAATGCGGTAGGGTGCTTGAGAAACGGTTTGGTTAGGCTCAAGTTCGATACTAGCTTCGACTATGTCGGTTTTCCCAATGCCGTTCAAACCATTCGAGAAAACATCGAAGTAGCTCTCCAGAAGCCCTTGCATTTTAAATCGCTCGCTGGTGTTGCTAAAATTATACAAAAGTTTGGAAAATTCGCTATCGGGTATTATCATCGCTTTGCTCGTTTATTTTCAAAAAGCGACCGCTCTCGACCCTCATCGTAACGTTGGTGTTGATGATAACATCTTGGCCCAGTAAAACATCGTGCTGCATTAACTCGTCATCAGCGATGTAAGCCTGCGCCCTGATGACAGCTTCGTCGATAACCATGTCCACGACTATAGCCTCGTAGAACATACGTTTACCTCCGCAAATTCCTTTTACTTGTATACTTGCGTCGTTCAGCGTTTATATATTCGGCCACTGACTTACGAATGATGCTACACTGGGTGCCAGTATCGATGAAAGCGATGTATGGTTTCGATTGTATATAAATGATTTTGTTGAAACATCCATCCAAGTTCGTTGCCCCAAGTTTCCGTGACGTTGCGGTCGTTTTGTCACAATTACCACCATTCGAGTGAACTTTGTTGCACGTTACGCAGCGGTGACGTTTCTGCGGTAGTGGACATTTGTTGGAGAAATGCCCAAGCTCGTTGCACTTGTAACACTTCAATTGCGGCCTTGGTCCCATTTGCTTCGTTGTCCCGTCTAATTTCGCCTTGACCTCATCCCGTTTATCTAGATGATTCCCTTGTGGTTCGCTTAGCCCTCCACGATTAATAAAATAGTCTTCTAGTGCGTCTCGCATCTGTTTCATCGTTGTGAATTTCATAGCTGTTATGCTGTGCTGAAGTTCGCGGTGTTTTAAACCTGCTCTTGTATAACGTATAACGGCAGCTTCGCTCAGTTTGTGGCGAACACCTAATGCTGAAACTCGGAAGCAATATTCCTTCACTGTTTCCTTCGGTCGTCTTGTCGCGTTGGACATAACAAAGTGAATTTACGCTTCGTCTTGTACTGACCCAAACTCATGTTGTAAGGCGCTAGCAAAATCAGCCCATGTAGTATGCAATGTGGGTGATGCATCCAACCACATACGTGCAACGCCTTTTAATCTAGTGTATACAGCCAATAACACGAACTTGTCATCCCATTGATACGCCTATATTACTTTATTGACTCGATCAATAAATTCCTCCACGGTAAAAAAAAAAAAAATATATATATATATATTTGCGATTTCTTTCACAGGCGCGTGTCGCATATTCCCACTCGTTGAAGTATACTCGCTGCCTCGAATGCGTGTAGTTGTATTGTTGCATGTTGTCATTGCGCTCGCAGTGTTTGCTGAATAATTCTCGTCTTCGTTTCGTGCGGCTGCGCTTCCGTTGATTGATGCTGCGCTGTCAGCGTTCGCAGCGCCCTGCACAGTGTCGTTCGCTATGCCCTGCGTAACCTGCGATATGCTAGAACCAGTGCCAATGCATTGCGCTTGCAAAAGCTGCGCCATCAATTCACGCAGTTGCTTCATTTCTTGTTGTAGCTGCGATATCATTGATGTATCAGATGCATCTTCAATAACGCTGCCTTCTTGAATGTCTACTTCGTCAGATTCCCCATATGTGCTGAGTCGCTGTACCAGTTGATCGCGTGTACCCGTCGTTGGTAACTGCCTCTCTCGTAGCAACTTCTTCAATTGCTCTACCTTTAAATCGTTGATTTTCGTCATTTTTCGTAAATCCGCTGTTTTTTCCTGCTGTCGCCAATGCACGCCGTTGTGTATTTGTCTATATGCACGTAGTAAATTCCTTGAAAGTCGTTGTTTTTGCTGTTGCTGAGCGATGCTTGCCAGACGTGGTATCGTTGCCTAAGTCGATGTTCAGACACGAAAACTTTGGTTGCAGAAACTCGAAGCTTGTGGAGGAGAGAGCGATGAGGAAAGGGCTTTGTGCTCTCCATCGCCTGAGTAATTCAAGTTAGCGGTTCACAGCTGACAACAACAATTGCGTACAAAAGAGTTTGTGGGGAATGAAAAACCCACATATGAATTTATTCAATTAAATCTTTATTTCAATCACTTAAATTCTAATAAAAACTATATCAAAAATTAGCACGTATCTTATGCGTGTTGCACGTAGAAGACTCCAGAAAGTTCTAAATGAACTCCCTAGAAAAACTCGTAACTGGACTCTCACTGCCAGCGAAGAGCGAGATCAAAAAGGAATTACAAAAGGTGTCAAATACGATGTAGAGTTGCCAGATGTTGGAATTGTATGTCGAGTCCCCACACTACTCCCCCCCAGTGAGGGCTTTAACTGGGTAGCAGTTAAAGTCGAATGTTATTTACGGGCCTATGGTGTACTTCGTGTTGCAGTGGCAGGCTCGTTGTTGTTGCTGGCTGTTGCGGTGCGTTTGGCTTGTTGAATACTCGTCTGTGCGATGTGCTGCCGAAAACGTCGTCACTTGCCAAATGCGCTGGTTTAAGCCGTTCAATACTGACGTTAATCTCCTTGCCGTTAACGTCAATCGTAAATACTCGTTCGTCTATGCGCTTAACAACCCTATGCGGGCCGGAGTAAGGGTGATCGAGTGGTCGTCTGACTGCGTCGACTCTCATGAAGACGTGAGTGCACGTGGCCAAATCCTTGTGGCAGAATGTCTTCTGTCGGCAATGGTGAGTAGTAGGTGCTGGTCTAATCTTCCGCATATATGTACGGAAGTCCTCAAGGAAAGAATTTGTGTCCCCTGGTGGGTCTCCGTTCGTAAAGAACTCGCCAGGGACTCGAAGTGTGGTTCCGTAGAGATATTCCGCGGGCGATGCTTTGAGCTCTTGTTTAAAACACGTTCTCAATCCCAACAAGACAGAAGGTAACGCTTGTGTCCATTGAGGGATTTGGTGGCACATAATAGCCGCTTTTAAGGTCCGATGCCATCTCTCGACTAGTTCATTAGCTGCCGGGTGGTACGCTGTCGTTCGGATTCGTTTGCCGCCAATCAAACGCGAGAGTGCCGTAAAATGCGCGCTTTCGAACTGCGTGCCTTGGTCAGTCGTGAGCAGTTTGGGGCATCCGAAACGCGCTATCCAATGAGAGAAAAAGACGTTGGCGACCGTGTTCGTTGTTATGTCTCTGATCGGGATCGCCTCAGGCCATTTGGTGAAGCGGTCTATCATCGTCATGCAGTACTTGAATCCCTGGGACTCTGGCAAGGGTCCGACTAGGTCCAAGTGCACGTGGTCGAACCTTTCATCCGGGATAGGGAATGGAGCGGGTGTCGTATGAACGTGCCGGATTACCTTGGAGCGCTGACACGGAACACAGTTGCGGGTCCATTGCGAGACATCCTTGTTCATGGATGGCCACACATACCGTTGAGCGATTATTTTGACGGTGGCCCTGCTGCCTGGGTGTGCCAAGTTGTGTAACGCCTCGTAGACCCTACGGCGCAGCTGGATGTTGCTTGTAGAAACGTCGCAGTATATTATTAGCCGGCTGGGTCCAAACGTAAGAGTCTGTAGTTTGAGCGATGTCTCATTGCAAACTAACAACTGTTGGAGCTCATCGTCCGATGCTTGGGCACGCGACAATTCCTCGTAGCTGATTACTTCCGGGAGGTGCATCGTTTCAATGCGAGAGAACGTATCTGCTACATTGTTGTCGGAACCGGAGATGTATTGGATACTGGTGGTAAACTGGCTGATAAATCCTAGCTGCCTTATTTGACGAGGAGATGACTTATCCGAATTTTGGCGAAAAGCGTAGATAAGCGGTTTATGGTCGGTTCTTATCACGAATTCGCGAACTTCGACCCAGTGGCGGAAATTTTTAATTGCTTCATAGACGGCAGTTAACTCCCTATCGTACGTGCTATAATTCTGATGCGCGGGCGATAGCTTCTTGGAAAAAAATCCGAGCGGTTGCCACGTGTTTTTGTACTCTTGTTCCAGCACTGCACCTATTGCGGAACTGGACGCGTCGCATGTGACCCGAATCCTAGCGGATGTCGAGGGGTGCGCCAAGAGCGTGGCGGCTGCTCTTTGATTGAAGCGAAGGCGCTTTCCGAGTCTGCTGACCAAGGTACTGGTCGGCGGTCATTTTTTTTTGATTCTTTTAAAAATTCATTAAGTGGCGTTAAGATGCTAGCGGCGTTCTTAATATGGCGGCGATAGAAGTTAACTGCTCCGATAAACCTTCTCAAATCCAAGATTGTTTTTGGCTTCGGGAAGTCGCGCAGTGACTTCACTCGATCTGGCAATGGCGCTGAGCCATGAGCTGTGATGCGGTACCCCAAAAAATCGACGGTAGCTGAACCCAATAAGCACTTATCCACGTTAATACACAGGCCGAACTTGCTGAGACGCTGGAACACCGAGCGGAGATGTTGCTCGTGCTGTTTGACGCTATGAGCAGGTCGTCGACGTATGCATAAACGAAATCGAGCCCGGATAGGGCTTCGTTTATGAACCGCTGGAACGACTGGGCTGCATGGCGAAGTCCGAACGGCATGCTGACGAACTCGTAAAGGCCGAACGGGGTTATGACAGCTGTCTTGGGGACGTCCCCTTCTGCCACCGGTATGTGGTGGAAAGCGCGCCGAAGATCAATGGTGGAGAAAATGTTCTTACCTGCTAAAATAGCAGCATAGTCGTACAGAAGCGAGATTGGGTACCGGTCAGGGATGGTTTGCTCGTTTAGCCTACGATAGTCGCCGCATGGTCGCCACTCACCGTTCTTTTTCCTCGCCATGTGTAGTGGGCTAGCCCAAGGACTACTGGAAGGCCTGGCATGTCCTAGCTCGACCATAAGTCGAAATTCCTCTTTGGCCACTTTGAGGCACTGGGGGCGTAATTGGCGTATACGTTGTACGCATGGTGGTCCAGAGGTTGGAATGTAAGGCTTGACTGAGTGCTTGGTGGCCGTGCGGTTGGACGGGTTTCCAAGCAGCTCAGGGAAATCTCGTAGGATGCTCGTAAACTTACTTGTTTCGTGGAGAGATGTGATGGCCGTGATTGGCGCCGTTGCGTATGAACCTGCGCTGCGGAAACCTGAGTTGGGGTTTATGATGCACCCTCGTCTGAGGTCCACTAACAATCCATACTCGTGAATTAGGTCTGCGCCGATTATTGGATACGGCACATTCGCTATGCAGAGAATCCAACGAATCGGTCGACGGAGCCCGATGCCTATCTCCAATGCTTTCTCACCGTACGTGTCGATGACAGTGCCGTTGGCAGCCTGGAGTCGAAGTTGCGTTGGCGTCAGCTTGATTTTACGATGGGGTGGAGTCACGGAAATATCCGCGCCGGTGTCGACGAGGTATTTCGTGCCAGTTGTGCGGTCGAAAAAGAATAATCGGCGAGGGTTTAACTTGCCACCAGTAGTCGCCGAAGCTACTGAGGCTTGCTTGAGTTTCCCTGACTCTGAATAAATGCGCATGGTTGCGTGCATCTGTTAGCCCGCATGCCAAACCTACGATGATAAAAGCACACCGTTGGCGTGCTGTTGGTGTTCAAGTTTTGCGGCTCATTCGACGTATTGCTGAGTGTTTTCACCTGCGCGCGGTTGTCAGCGAAGGCCGCTTGGTTTAACGTTTTTGCTACCTTCTCCAACTGCTTTGCTAGTTTATCGATTTGGTCAAGTGAAACATTGCTTTCGTTGGTAGCTGCGTGGGTTACTGGCAAAACATACCGGTTACCAGTATCGCGCTGAACCTCCATCAAACGGTTGGCCAGCAGAGCGAGTTTTGTATTGTCAGGTTCGTTTGAGACAGCAAGTGCCACTTGTACCTGAGGTGGGAGTCGATCGAGCCACATAAATCGAATGAATGCGGCATCCAGTTTGTTTTCGCCCAGCCTATTAATTTCTGCGAGAAGTTCCGATGGTCGTCGGTCACCCAACTCCAGACCCGATAGCAGCATCTTGAATTTGCGCTCCTGTGAAATACTGTAATGATTCACTAGAACTTGCTTTAGCGCGGCATATTTATCAGTTTCAGGAGGCCTTGTAATAATACCCTCTACAATGATGAGTGCATCCTGATCAAGGCGACCGACCACTGCGTAGTATTTGGTTGCATCGGCAGTAATTCTCCTCAGTTGGAACTGGGCTTCGACCGCGATAAACCACAATTGCACTTGTTGCGTCCAAAATGGTGGTAGCTCAAGGCGCTCGAACTTATCGACATGTGCAGCCTGTTGCTGTGGCTGTAGAGCAGCGATTGCTTCGAAGAACTCCTCAGATGCGGCTCCATTTTGTGATGCTGAGCCATTTTCCTTGCCGTCCGGGGAGTTTACCTGATCAGTGGGCATATTAACCTGGTTGCACTGACAATAATTTGCTTAAAGTTGTCGGGGTCACCAATTATGTGGGGAATGAAAAACCCACATATGAATTTATTCAATTAAATCTTTATTTCAATCACTTAAATTCTAATAAAAACCTATATCAAAAATTAGCACGTATCTTATGCGCGTTGCACATAGAAGAATCCAGAAAGTTCTAAATGAACTCCCTAGAAAAACTCGTAACTGGTCTCTCACTGCCAGGGAAGAGCGAGATCAAAAAGGTATTACAAAAAGTGTCAAATACGATGTAGAGTTGCCAGATGTTGGAATTGTATGTCGAGTCCCCACAAGTTTCTGTGTGTGAATGTAAAGGGCAACACCAAAAGAGAAATCGCCGATAATAAGCAACTTGAGTTTCCGTGTTTGAACGCAGACTAATTGCCTGTAGCCGTTTCGTCGCAAATTCTCTGCTGTTCCGTTGAAAAATGCTTACTCGTTGTTGTGTCGCTGTGTCCGAAAATACCTTTCGTGGCAAATTCGTTGTCGTTTTCGATTTATTTCAAGCAATGCTTGCTTGCTGTCTTTGCGCAGTCGCTGCGCATACGAATAATTGTATGTATGTATGTGGTACACACACAAACGTTTTTGCGCATGTACAAAATCTAATAAGCACGTTTATTTTCCAAGTGGATTCTGAACCCACTCTGTACTATGGAACACGCTTTATATTTAAATGTTTATTTTGATATAAAACTGATTCACAAAGAAAAACCGCAGGATGGGTTATTTAGATTAATTATTAAAGATAGCGATTTGTTCTCTCTTCTGCCTCGTTCGCACGTATCTACTCACTGACAGTTGTGGCAGCGTGGCCATCTATCACGTTGGTTGCAGGGTTACCGTCGCTTACACGATGGAATGAAAAAAATTATCGATAACATTTTGAATATTTAGCAGCGAATGCAGATGTGCTTAAGAGCGAAAAACACCACATAAGCGGCTTGACAAAGCTATTCATGTTGTGCACGGGGGTGTTTGAAGGATTGACAAGTCGTTTGAGGGAAAAGTGAACAAAAATCTACATTTTTTGATTTTCTGGCCGCAATGTTGACGTTTGATCAAACCCCTTACGTTTTGTATGATAAAATCGCCTGATTAGCAACGGAATTTTTACCGAATGAGGACACAAGAGAGAAAAATCGAAGAAAACTCCAAACCCTTTTATATTGTGAACCGGAAGAAAACTAAAATTCTTTGCGTGAACGAGTCATTTTTGCATGGTTTATGGCGAAATGGGAAAAGTAGGTTTGAAGAATGTTTGATAAGCCGCTTTGTGGTGTATTTCGCTCTTTATAAAACTTTGGAAAGCTTTTTATTCAAAAATTTGCAGAGCGATTTTAACTCTGTTGGGTAAAACATGGTTGCATTTGTTATCTGCAAATATATTCAGTGAAAATTCCTCAAAAATTCTGAAAAAATACTCAAGCGCACCCGAAATTCCTCACGTTCTGAGGAATTACTCACAAAGTGGCAACACTGCTCCCGCCACTTTTTAAGTTGAAACATAGAAACTATAATTACAAAAAAAGAAAGTAAAACCATCCTTAATACATGCATACATACATAATTAGCAGAAAAATTACGATACGAGCAAGTAGTACCTGATTTTACATTCGTACTGTCCACTTAGGTCAGACTGTAAATTTGAGAAACATAATTCATTTGTATTAAAAATGTTTCAGATTTATACCTATGGCTTTATAATCAAGAAATTTTTAAACTCTTATTTACTAAAAAAAAAGTTCCTTGCCTTTTATTTCAGTAAAACTTTCTTTTCTAGCGTTTGCTTCAGAGCAGAGTCCTGCACAGAGTGAATAAAACCACCGTTGAGCTGCTTGTGAGAAACTAAGTGTGAAGCAAGCGAAATAATCACGGAGAGTAAGCAAGTGTGAATGGCGCTCACTTATTGTTATGAAGAAGAGAGCGTCGGCTTGTGAGCGAGGCATATTTAACAAGGTAGAAGTGACAACTACCTCGAAATCTCTTGTAGCTAGTTATAATGTCAAAAAACTGTAAACAAACAAATTAACCCTATGAGTTGCGAGTGCTATGTTTGCTACAAATTAGCATCAATTGAAACTCATCATGGTGAAATTATACCAGGTGTAGTAATAAGACCGAGATGAAAGATTTGACGCTATCTTATTTGAAAATTTCCCTTTAAAAATTTGTATAAGATAGCCGAATGTCAGGCAAATAAAGCGAGAAAGCTTTTTTATTACTTCACCTCTTTATAATTTCACCATGGAAATGCATCAGCATAAATACATACATATGTATGTACTTATACGAATTTTAAGAATTACTTCAATATTACCTTCAAAGAATTTTAGTTGCATTTGCATCTTATATGCACATATACATACATACATATGGGCAGAAAAGAATACCTCATAAAGGAAACCACGTAATTAAATGAAAGAAATGTTTTATGAAACTGTTTTAAACATTTTTTTGGTTTCTATTCGCCCAATGTTTTTGCGCGTTTAGTTTCTTATTTAAATATTTACTTCTGAGAAACATCCGCACTTATAAAAGAACGATTTAATATTTTCCTCTACATATGTACATATGTATGTATATCAGTGTAAATCTAGGTCCTGACGTGGTTATGTGTGCATAATTTTGTAAGAAACTACTCTTACTCAGTTCTGAACTTGATGATGAGCCAGTAGTGCTGCAAAAACATCGATATTTGAAACTATCGATTTTTCGATGT